ACCTAACATACTTGCTTCAAAACAATAGTCCTAAAGTGTTACCAGTGTGCTGCAGTGTGGTAATCATGCAATTATTATTAATATTATTTTTTTTTTTTTTCTTTTTTTAAACCAAATTACATATATCTATTAAACACTGAACTATTCAAAAATGTGTTGAATATTTGTATTTGCTTTCTTGCTAAAAGTACTAAAACCACCATGACCAGCTGGTTAGTTAGCTAAGCTTGGCTTAAAGTCTGGAGAAAACTGATAATGAGCAACTCTAAACCTCATTATTTGATATGAGGTACTTTGTGCGTTTAATTTATACACAAGCCTTAGTGCAAAAAACCCAAACAGGTTCCAATATGAGGTTATCAAGAAAGCACTGCAGGAAGTCGCAGTTTCTGGCACAGTGCAGTTCAACAATAGCCTAGGGCCAGTTAAAAAAGTATGCTGGACAAGTTGAATGGCCAGCTGCTGGTCTTTTTGGGCTAGTAATGGTGTTTCATCGAATGGATTCACCTTTGAAGCAAACAGTCAGTATTCTGATATCAAAATACAAATAAATATCCTTTATTGAACCACCAGTTCTGGTAGTTTTATAAGTGAAAAAAATTAGATCTTTTTAGCTGCTCCTACCCCTCACATTGTTGCATAAAACAACAGCACAACTAAATTTAGAAAAAGCTAAAATAAAATCTGTCTGTCTGCAGATAAATTGTGCTGGTTTATTTTGTCACAATCTTTCAATTTCTAGCAGCAATACCTGCATAAGAGGGGCATTTCAATCATGCCACAACCTTTATTTTTAAGTTTTAGTTACCAGCACATGTGGATGACTTTCTTTACAGGAGGTGGAAAACATGGCGGTACTAAGCAGCAAATTCATGTGAAAACCTATGTGTCTCCATGGGAGAAGGCCATGAAGGGTGATGAAGGTCTGTTAGCCACTCTACAAACCAATATGCCACATCCCAATGCCAAAAAGGAATTACTCCAGTACAAGTGTTTCAACAGGTAGTTCCCTTGAGGTCTGATATGTAGAAGATTTGTGAAAAAAAAGGAGCTTTAATTAACCTTTCACCTTGGTTTGACAGGAGTGCCATGCCCTACGGCGGTTTTGAAAAGGCCAATCAGTTTCTGAAATTTCAGCTGCCAGAAGCTGAGGCAGCCAAAGAAGAGCCTGAACCTGCAGTGGTGTACCATCATGACATTAGCTGCCGGCCTTCATTCAATCGCACTCCTATTGGCTGGGTGGGCAGCAGTGAGCCCAGCAGCATTCACATGGAGACGGATGCTGTGCCCTTCGATGGGGAGACCGACGAGCTGTGAAAGCATATTAATAGTGATTACTATGCACATACTCACACACAAGAGTAACTGCATGCATACACCATAGCATGCACACACAATAGTTGAGCTTACAATTAACTATTACACTAATGAATTTGAATCTCCCAGTGTGGACAGTTTAAAGCGTACAAATAAAATGAGGTCCTGATCTTAACATGCTCTGTATTTGGTTGTAAAGCGACAAGTTTTATTTGTTATGGGGAGATGAAACATCAAATGTCTATTTGATAAATGTATAAGTTGAGCCAAGCAGTCCTCTAATTTGTCTGAAAGTTTGCTGTTGTAGGTGAAAAATTGCAGATTGTCCCATTGAGGAATGAATCATATATGATGAATAGGTGATGAATGCTAAGTCACTATTGTGCAGGTTGTCTGAACTTGTTACCATAACTGTTATCGCTCAACATTGTCTTTTTTTGTTGTTACAAATGTCTGATGATTTGCTGCGCTATAAAAACCTAAAAACTTGTTTAACTCAATATGCATGCTGTTGCTGATCCCTTAACCAAACAAAACAACACAACACAGTTTCTCCACAATAAACTGTAACACTGTAAATAATTTAGTGCACTCTGAATGAATTCTTGAAATATACAGTATTTGTATGTACAATGTAGATTTCAGAAATGTTATTAACTATTTGGATGTCGGGGGGAGAAGAAGAAGTGAACAAAACAAAAAAAGATCATCCTTATCATGCCCATGTCATATTGTGTACTCACTTGGCAAATGTCATGTGTGCTGAAACATTAATGGGAACTGGGACATTTAAGCTAGTTTACGCAGTTTAACAGTTCTGTATTTAATTACTCTTCTAATTTTTCATTCAAGAAATGGAGAGTAATATAAACAACAACAACAACAACAAAAAAACATATACACACTGATGTCTACAGTATTATCTGAAATACCTGGTAGCTTAAAGTAAAAACAAAATAGAAATCGTGAGTAACTGCTATGAGTTCGGCTGAACTTCCAACACTAAAAATGAAATCACGACTAAAGTACGTTTCTATTAATAGTACTTCTCCAGCTAAGCAACTCCCGCACAATTGGGGGCAGTCATGTTCCAAAAAGTTCTAGCCAAGGAAAAGCAAAAAGAAGAATGCCATACCTTTGAATGTTGGATACCGGGGGAATCTACTGTCCAAGCACTATTATACAGTAAAGTCTGCAATCTACAACAACGCAATGGATACCAGCCCAGTATTACTAGGTAACATTACGAAGTCTTCAACCGATGAGCTAGCTTAGCTAAATATGTATTTTGGTGGGATGGCTTACGGAATTTCCCAGGAAACCTCGCAAATTAATGCCCAAATTTGCATGTTGAAACATACATGCACCGACTTTATGTCAGTGGGCTCTTTTTAAGTTGAAATACCGAGACGGTTTCTGGTATAGAGTAAGGTTAACTTGTTTAGGCAGCTGAGAGGGTCGATACGTCATGGCCAGCAACCTCTGGACAGTGTTACCTAGCGACGGCAGTGCTAGCCAACAGATTAGCACTGACAAGCACTGCCGTCGCTGTGCGTCCTTCAGTCAGTAGAATGAAAGAAAAAACAAAAAACACGTAATTTCCCTCCACACAAGCTTCTGCTGTGTTTCAACTAAAGGATACATCTCAGGGTATATTGAAGTGTGCATTTAATATAGGTTATGTGTGAAAATCAGTTTTAAAAGTAAACTAAAGAAAGTTCTCCCACCTTTGTAGTCTTCTTGTTATCTTCTCTTTGTGTTGTATATGCACACCCAAACAGTGTATTGATTAAGAGAATCACTAAGAAGTATCACTACTGAACTATTTACAGTGTCTTGTTGCCATTTTTCGTGGTTTCCTGCATTAAATTGGTAAAATAGACTTGTATAAGCACTACTGCTTTGTTTAACTATTTATAACATGTGAAAGCAAGAGTTTTTTTTTCTAAATTATTAATTTTTTTTAGCACATGAAGTGAGTCAGAACTACAGCAGATAGTTTCCAAACATAACTCTACTAGGAATTATGCTGAGTGTAATCTTGGTCTGTGGTCATTTTAATTTTTTTTTAGGTATACTATAGCGGATTGACTTTCATTGATGGGATCCATATCTAAAGCCCAGTTGGCTCCCTTGCCAAGGACAGAGGTCCTTGTCTATTGGGTGCTTTCCTTGGGCTCTCATCTCTACTCTTTCTATCAACTTCACAGGTTCAGCAAAGGTATAGTAGAAATATGACTACTGAAATCTTAGTTAGATAAAATGAGAAAAAAATAAATAAATAAAGCTGTTATATCCTGTTTTTGGCCCAGAGTATGAAGTGGGATTAGAGAGAGAATTCCAGTTGGAAAAGGGCCTTGTTAAAGGTTTTAAAAGGGTAAGTTCAGTGCTGAATTGATAGAAAGCCATGTCTGAACCAACAGACTAGATTTTAAGACTTATAGTGTACTAAAGGTTTGTGGTAATTTCCAGTTAATTTTAAATTTAGAATAACAAAGTAATAATTTTAATTTAATCGATGCATAGAAATAAAATACCTTAACAGATTTGCATTGTTTAAAGCTGCTTTTGAACAGGTTTCAGGTGTTATAAGTGCATTGTTTTGTTATCAGGACCCTTTAGATTTTGAGTGGAATTTCTGGACTGACTGGGCTAAGCACTCTTTACTGTGGACTCTGATTGGTCATGCTGTCTTATCAAGATTAACCAGCATCTTTTACCCCAAGGTATGAAGCTGTTGCTACATTAATCTTTAAATATAATATAGGTGGCAAACAGTTTAATCCCACACATTTTTATGTGTTTTTCCATCAGCTTAGAGTGCCAGCACTTGCGATATATGGCTTCTTAGCAGCCAGCAGTGTTTTGGGGATTAAAGGTGTGAGTGTGCTGCTGGTACATCTGGGCTTGTCCTTTTCTATGGCCCAGCTGCGAAAGCCCGCTCTGTCGTGGGCATGTAACCTGCTGCTTCTCTACACACCTCATATCAAAGAACTTCAAGACATCCAGGTGGGTTGACTTGGCTTTAACTCCTACAATAAATCTTTTCCTGTATGCTTGTAGGTGTTCTGAACACCTACAAAGCAACACCTAGTTCAAAAACTAACACAAAAATAGTAACTTTGACTGCATCAACAACAAACCACAGACTGTTCTGCAAAAACTGTTTTATTTCTACATTGGTATTCGCAGACAAACACAAAGCCACTAAATCCTACACAAGGGGCTTGTGTAGGATTTAGTGATATCTGCCAGTGAGTGTTTTTTTTGTCCCATCCGTTTCTACTGTGTCCCACTGTAGAAACAGTGGCAGACTAATCCATCTGTAGATATGAAGAGATCATTGTAAGATGGTAAAAACACAGCAGTTCTTATTTCCAGGAGATTATATGTCCTTTAAAACATGAAAAAAATATTTTTTAACTGCTGTCCCAGCTGTCATGGGGCAAAAGGCAGGGTATATGCTGGACAGTTTACCAGCCCATGACAGGGCTTTATAAAATATATAAATAATAATGTTAAACTAGTTTTTTTGTAAAAACCTTTTGTTATTCTGTAGCAGCATGATATCCAGTTACAATTTGAAAACTTCCTTTATCCTTGTGATTGTTACTAGATGTCATATTTGCCAAGAACACAAGAGGGCGCAAAATACTAAGGGAACCATTTGGTCACTTGCCTCCTTTCTACAGAATATCCAGATCACATGGTTAGGGTAAATTTATTTTGAGTATATTTATCTAACAGATCAATTTCCTACATGATAAATGATAAATAGAAATAATTTCAGATAAAATGCAAACATTTAGATTCATTTTTAATGTTACTTAACCATTTCACTATAGTCCACTTATACTGTATAAATAAATAGAATATATATTTAGTGTCTATCTTAGTGCTGTTTTACTACTAATGCAATGATTTTGATGGAATGCGTCATATGTAATTGGCCTTCCCACTGTATTACACAGAGAGGCTGGTATGAGAGTGATGAGGAGCACTATCTGCTGCTCTTCAGTGTTGCTGTTTGTGGTCTGCGCTTCATCAGCTTCAGCCTGGAGCACTGCTGGAGCCCTGAAGACCAATGCAGTATTGTGCAGCTTTGCTGGCTGTTTTCGTATACTTTCTATCATCCTTTTTTCTATAATGGACCCATTATAACCTACAAAAACTACATTGAGCAGGTAAGAGACATCAAAGCATTCTTCTAGATTAAACTGAGAATCAAATTTTCCTCTTTGTTTTTTTTTTTATCTGCAAGAGACTGAAGCTGATTGGTGCTCCTGAGAGCAGATCTCCCTTTTACAGTACAAAAGAGCAGTAACATCACATGTTCACTTATTTTTTTAATCAGCTCATCTTTTTTGTCGTAGTTTTGTACTTATCCTTACATTATGTGTTGCCTCTTTTACTACAACCCTGAGATTTTTTTTGGGTGGGGCTGTGTGAATGAAGATTCACCTGGCAGTCCTTAACAACATGCTCTTTTGCTCCACTAACAGATGCAGAAGTCTGCGGAGGAAAGTGACAGGGATGAATCTGCCCTTAGTTACTTGGTGCTCAGATTAGGACGGATCATTTTGTGGTGGTGTATTGCAGAATACATGATCCACGTCATGTACATGCACTCCATCCAGTCTAATGAGACCTACATAGAAATTCTTCCTCCTTGGGCCTTAGGCAAGTCTTGATACTCTGTTTTTTTTCCACCAACAGCACAGCTTTCTTAAAATTTAAACTTTACATTTACCTACTACATGCTACCACCACAGGATTATGTAAGTTTTAAAACGTTCTCATATATGTGTGTATTTGTTTGTTTTTGAAATAATAGTTTATTTGCACTTAAATTAAATATAAGCCCACTCTAAATTAGCAGAGCTGGTCTCTGACATGCACATAGAGTCAGATATACAGTTTATGCAGGTGGTTGTCTAAAATGTCTTTCATAAATTTTTTGAATGTTAAGCAAAAATTGGTAACATGAATTTTAAAACACCTCTTGGATTATGAGCTTATGTCGAAGATGATATAATAGAGAAAAAACCACACTTGAGTAATCCAAGGTTACTGGTTATATGTTAAACCTGCACTACATCTGGTTTATACCACAAACGTCTGGGCAGTCGTGTTGTTGCAATCTGAGCACAGTTTGCTTATTGACACAAGCGAATTGGTGCCATCTAATCCTTCATTTCTTTATATTTTGCTTCCAAGAAGCCACACTTTCTTGTAAGTGGTATTTTAAAGCAAATGTCTTGGGGCTTTCTGAAGGTCTGAAATACTTTGTTACTATTAGCCTGTTGCAAAAACATAATTTGTTCCAATTTTCTTCGTTCACTATATGAAAAATGCCAAGTTTGACACACATAAAATATTATTTCTGCAACAAGGAGATTCCTAAAAAGCTGTTCGCTAGACAATTGCCATATCTGAAAATTTGAAGAAATTGGACAAGTGACCTAAAATCACTATACTGCAGATGAACAAAAAGGTCATATCCTTAAGAAATTTGAAACAAAATCCAGCAAAGGACCTAAGAGATGCTTCTGGACCCGCAGTTGGTTTGTGTATTGTTTGTTGGCCATTATGTATGCCAAATTATACAAAAACTGGACTAAAAATCACTGATCTTATCTTATAGATCTTATTGAGTAATTAATCCAAATTTGAAATTTTTGGTTTAAATCGTTATAAATATGTCGAGAGGAGGTCAGGAGAGAGGTACAAGTGGAGGCTCTGTAATGGTTTGGGGCTGCATTTCAGCCAGTGTTGTCAAAAACGTTGATGGAATTGTGAAGAAAGGTATATCAGATTTTGATGCACCATGCTGATCTCAAACATACTGCTAATGCAGTAAAACAAGCCTGGATAGAAAACCACACATTAGAAAACATCAGTCAGGGATCGACAGGCAACATCCAAAGAAGAGCTTTGGAATCTGCTTTAAGAATCCTGGAGAACTATTTCTGAAGACAACTTAAAGAAATGACAAGAAAGCTTACCTAAGAGAGTTTATACTGTGTTGCATAATAAAACTGGATATACCATGCAGATGATAAGTAATAATAATTTTTAAAAAAGAAAAGAAAATAGGAAGAAATGAAGTTTAGATCAAGACCTTTGGACAATAAGATGACTGGAAAACCTGTGGAACAAACAAATCACATCTAATCCTCCTTTCCCATATATCTTTTGAGTTTTTACTATAAATATAACACTGGCCTAACATACGTTTGAGGATTATATAGAACTTTTTTACAATAAGAACTTTTGATTTCACCACCTACTTTCATTTTTGTCACAGGTGGTCTTGCTCTAGCTGTCGTCCAGTTCTTCTATGTGAAGTATCTGGTACTGTTCGGCCTTCCATCCATGCTCGCTACTTTGGATCAGCTGGTTCCCCCCAAGCTTCCCCGTTGTGTCAGCATCATGTACAGTTTCACAGGCATGTGGAGGTAAGACAGTGGAATCAATTCTGGGAAACCATAGTGATAGAATAACAAACATAGTACTATACTGGTCTTTCAGCTTTGCTAAATATTCCCTTTACTAGAAAAGCTACCTTTCCTCATGTCCTTAAATTAAAACAAAGTCATTTATTGTCAAGTTTCAAAGTGGGCGCAGAAAATAGTTTCATTTTATGTTGTTAATAGTAAGAACAACAGGTTATCCTACACAAGATCACCTGAAGATCATTCTTTCAGACTCATCATAATGATAAGCACATGTTAAGCTATTATTTTTAGGCCAATTTGTTTTCTTTAATTCATAATCAGCAGGTTTGTTGCAGTGTTTCTTAGACAGCAGGGACATTATGAAACAAACTGAAACCTTGTAGAGTAAAACCAAAAGCTTTAATAATTGAGTTTTACTTGTGTGTCAGTTAAAGGAACCTGGATATTTCTGGTTTATTATTATTTTACGCAGTGCTGTGTAATTGTAAGAAACAGGAAAGATGCTTTGATTTTTTTTCTGTTTCGTGGTTTAAAATGTGCTCGTATTGAATTATTTCTGTCACAATGAGCGGAAAAAATAATAATAACTTGTCTTTTCACTTATTTTTTCAATTAAAATGAAAACTAGTCTAATAGATCTATTCCTAGTTTATACTGAAGGGGTCACAATTGCTCAAGTTAATGAACATGCAAAGGAAAACGCTTGTTACAAGGGACAAGGAATCTTATTCAGCAGGTATTTCATTAACAAAAACAATAACACACTGTGTATAAGTATATAAATAAGGATGAACATTTGTGCTATTGTGCTGTTAGTATTTAGACTTTGCCACTTCAGAAAATCTCTTTATGTATTTATATAGTGCAAAATATACATTCATTTCATCTTATCTATTACAAGCTTATACAGTGCAGTTATTTGTTGTTTAGCTCTTAAATGATTCACCTTTATGAATCATACAGGTTTCATGTGTATGATGATGGCAGGTTTTACTTCCTTTTTATGGGTTAAGGTTAAGGGTAGACAGTTGAAACAACTCTTCATATCTTAAAAATAAATCCTCAAAAGTAATAATCATCATCACAATGAAGTTGAATTAACATCTCTCTACAAGAGCTTATATCCTGCATCAAGGGACGCTTTACTGCAGGACCATTTTAGCTTGGCGTATAAACTAGCAGCTTATTATAGCAGTGGGCAGTTTTTAAACAGAACAAACATACCATTAAGTGCAAACCTTGAACATATTGCCATCTGCAACAAAAGGAGCGACTCAAATTGGGTTTAGATCCTGGTTATAAATTACCAGAGTATCCCAGCAGTTTGTCACTTTCTCCCAGTACAATCAGTCTTGTTCCCAAATGTAATTAACAGTGAGAAATTCCCCATATTTAGAGTACAAAAAGCTGAGCTAGAAGGCTGTGTGTTGGTATTACAGTAAAAAAACGGAAAAAAAAAAACAGCTGTAGGATAAACGGACCAGTGTGCTGACACTGATGCACTCCAATCGAGCCTGTGTGTGTGCGCTGGTCGAATTCACTGATGGATTGCATAAAGCTATCCATCAACATTGCTGATGAAACAATTCCAGTTATAGACTGAGCCAAATCTAATCTTCTTAATGACAAAGAGGAAGCACATAAACACAAATGTGTAAACATACTTATTGCGCAGGTCTCAGTTTATATGAAGCCCAGTGCTCAGCTGGTTCTTACTCAATGATATATTATTATTATGTAAATGTGTGACTCAATGTGTTTTTTTCACTCTTAGGCACTTTGATGAGGGGCTGTATCGATGGCTCATCAGGTAAGAGGCACTTCAGCGATGGACTGACTAATTCCAATGTTAATGCATACTTAAAATGAGAAATGTCATCCTAATCAAGTAATGCCTCAAGAATATCTGCCTATCTGCATCCATTTATTTGTCTGTTTTTATCTATGTCTGTCTTATCTAATATTTGGAATACTTTTGTATCGCATCTGTTATCTATTATGCAGTTAAAGAGCTTATTTCCTGTGGGGCATTGAACCTGTCAGCTGAATAACCTTAAAAAAAACATGCCATTCTCCTGCTGCCTGCCCACATTTTTCATCACAATGGATAAGGATGCTGCATTTGCATGTAGGCTTTCTCATGATTATGAGGTTGCATGTTGTTGGTGAACAGTTCCTCTATTGTGGCGCTGCCCGTGCACCCTGGAGAAATGCCTCCTTGTTTAATATGTGCATTTGTAATTTGCACACTTGTACTTTGGACAACACACATTATTGGTTTGTTCGCTTTTAATGATGCACACTTGGCTGAATGCAGCCTATTGGGAGTTTATGGTTTGCTTGGTGGAGGCAGGTTGCTACATTAAGGCAACGCTACAGTTGCATGGTTGTCAGAAAACACAGTGGAAATGTTCCCCTGTCTTGGTTATTATTTGCTAATTAGGGTTTTATTTTTTTTCTCAGTTGTGTGACGGGTACAGTATGACGGTGCATGTGTACATCTACTTTTATGAAAGAATGCATATTAGAGATTTAAAATGGCTCCAATTAATTTGCTAGAGATCCCAGAATTTAAATTGCAAATGCAAGTTTCCATTTTAATTTGTGCCCATTGGAAATTGTTTTCTCCTGCCTAATGGCATCAGTTGCAATTATCCTACCGCAGATGCAAAATGATACCCATGACACAATGCCCCCGACGTTCCTTCTTGCAAAAGTGCTTTTAAAGAGGTTTTAATGCAGTTCTGAAATTCAGTTGAAATTGTCTGAAGAGCGTTAGATGAGTGCGTAGGTGTTAAATGATGTACTCTACATGACTCACTGACACCCCGTCTCCCTGGGCAGCTAAGTGGCTCATTCTTCGCCATTCCATTGCGCTTTTCCTGTCTGTGTGCCACCGTCTCTCAGGTTCTCCATTTCACTCGCATTTAGTTATTGCCCAACAAAAGAGCTCTCACTTGGTTATTGATTGAATTATTGCAGCTACACACGAGCAGAAGCATTTGATCTCACACCTTAGTAAATATTGGTTGCAAATATGTAAGTGGGGGAATAGGTTGGGTATGGTGCAAGGTTAGAAATTAACTTCGGTTTTTAGTGCATTTAAAGCAAAACCGATTAAGTAAGCTGCATGCCTACACAACAACAATATATACTACACTCTTTAATTCCCAATGACAGTCGATAAAACCTGTGAGCATGTTGTAGTCTGCACCACCTGCTTGGATTAATCAGGTGTTACATAACACATTGATTAATCAGAGATTAATGTACAGCATGATATTATCATATTTTGAAAAACATCTGTTTAGAATCCATCTACATCCAAATGAATGTATTAGATGGATAGATACTCTGCATGTTTAGGTATTCAGTTTCCTCTGGCTCTGACAATCTGGTACCTTTCCATCTGTTTTCGCACCTACTTTCATCCTCAATATGGCCGAGCTGGCCACTCTATTTCAGGCTTAGAAAATGCTGGCTCATCTTTCAGGAACATTGATTAGCCACAGGGTGGCTGAGATAATGAGTTCCCAGCTCAGCAACACTGCACACAATGATTTGTTTGTTAAGTGTGTTGGAGTGATATAGCATGTTCAGACTCTTGTCAGTACCTCTGGGACAGACAAGGTTCTCGCAGTATCTGAGGCAATTTTTCTTCACAACATGCTCTGCATTTGATAACGACTGGACGCTATTCACATCGAGTGTGTTATCACATGAGGTGCTATTTTTATACCACATGGAACGTAATCTAATCTAAACCACAAAAATGAACTGCAGGAGCTGTGCTATAGCTTTACTGTTTGATGAATTACCTCATGAGAATTGTCGCTATTTAACTGTGTATCCTCACAGTTTATTAACTGATATACTGAAGTCAGAACCAGGAGCAAAAGTGCGCTAAAGTGTTGAATAATACAGAATTTGTACGTTTGACAGTGGGCTAAATGTGTGTGAATCATAAAAAAACACTTAAAAACATTAACCCTCCTCCAGAGTTGTTAATAGGTTGATTGATATTCTCTGTTTTGCCTCTATTTTTGCAACTAGACATCAAAGCCACGTTTAAAAGTAAAATCAGCATGACCACGCAGTTTTTTCTGGTTCTGATTAATCCAAAATGCATTGTGGTGCCATTTTTACACTTCCAATGTTTTGCAGTGGTTAGTCTTTACACAGGTTAGAATCCCCTTTTTTATTCATTCTGTTGACACTGGATTGCTGTTATTTTTATGACATGTACTCGTGTTTCAGATACATCTATGTTCCACTGGGAGGTTCACGCCATGGTCCTCTTTGCAAAATGTTTTCCACTGGTGTTGCGTTCGGATTCGTCTGCCTCTGGCACGGTGGACATGACTTCTTACAGTACTGGGCCCTGATGAATTGGGCTGGAGTTCTGGTGGAAAATTCTCTGAAGTCTCTCTTTGCCTCGACCTTTATTCACTCCGTAGTTGTAAGTTTGAAATCCATTGACGGTGCTAAAACATTAGGAGGTTTAAATTACCTACTAAGTCTTTCATTTAAGATGTGTGGATGTAATAAAAATTTCTCCTGCAGTCAGAAATAAAGAGGTCATATTATGTTATTTAGTGAGAGATGATGCCTAGAGAGGGTACACTAATTACAGACTGGAGACAAACTGGCTGGATCTTGTCACATCTAATGGGGAAGTACACTTAACCTCAAATATTCATGTTAGTAAAAGCCTGTTCCCAATTGCTTCTTTGGCCATAGCCTTGGGAGATGGTTCATGTTCTCAATATAGTGCTCATATCTGATGGCACACCGTGAAATCCACCTAGTTTATGGTCACACAGTTCATTTGTGCCAGGTGCCTCTCTGTTCCTTCTGCCATGTACAATAGAAATGTCTTGTGGTTCGCCTCTTAGTATTTATTTTTCTGATTTCCCAGGAGCAGAATTTCTCTGCGGCGATGAAAAGGCGATGCATCGCCCTTGTCTTTGCCTTCTCTACTGCTATGCTCATCCTTTCTAATCTGGTGTTCCTTGGGGGAATACATGTTGGCAGAATCTTCTGGAAGCGTGTCTTCATTCACGGTAAATTGCTTTCCACAACATTCACTCAGTGGGAATTGCGTGTGGCTTTATTTTGCAGGATTGTTTCAGCTGGCATTTGTACATTCTCCTGTGTGGATTATCAGCCATGTGCTCCTTTTAATTTGACAGCTGAGTTGCATTGTAGGTCATCACATGTTTGCCCTCAGCGGTGAGAGCAGCTAAATATTGTTTTTCCTAAAGCAACAGAGCGAAGCCAGCCAGTATGTACTAGAAAATAAAATCGGAAATAAAATATAAGAAATCATTAAAAATTTTGCTTCTCTGTAGGTTTGTGTATTTAACAGTTTTTCTAATTTAATTAATCTGCACAGGCGAATAAAGAGACATCTGCTTATGTGGTTGTGCCAGGACCTATTTTTCTCCCAGTGTCTCTTTTTTTGGCTCATTGGATACCTAAAGAAAGATGGCAGCGCCTCTTGAAGCCTGTCTAGTTACGATAAGCAGTCTGAGCTGCACTCGCTGCTGGGCTGGGAGCACAGTCGGTACAAAAAAGCCCATCAGTGGAATGTCACATCATCAATATTGTTTATTAACCAAAACTTTAATGTGGAATTTTAATTGAGTTGAATATGAGTTTACTCATTTATATCGCTAAAATGTGGCAAACATAGAGGCTGATTAAAAGTCCAAAATGTAAATTTTTATTCAAAGCCGGCAGAGGTCAAAGACAGTAAAGCAAGCAGCCCTGCAAAGGATCCAGAAGAAGAGCAGGCAAACACTAAATCCAATTGTCAGTCACAAAGGAGACAAACACAAAAAGATAAGAAGGAATAAGACAATCTGGCAGAGATCTGTGGAAACTGACAAGTGTATCTATATAAAAACTGTTGGGTGAGTCGCTGATTTAACACGGGAGAGAAACGGGGAACAGGTGTGGAAGATGACACAAGAAAAACTAATAAGGCAGTGGCAAATAGAAATAAAATTACCACAGGAAGTAAAACAGACAAGAAGCAGTGATTACAAAATAAAACAAGCAATAGCTTGAACCAAAACATGACATTTATCCACTTATGAGCAGCAGTGGAAGCTGTACTACAACAACAACAACAACATTTCTACCCTGTAAAGTTTGTACAAGTGTTGGATGTTAGGAAACAGCTGCTTAATTGCTTCATTATCTCTTTTTCTTTCTTTCCAGCTCTTTCTTTGACTCTACTAACTCCTGAGGGAAATAAGTGAATCTTTAGCTGCTAAATGCATTTACCAGCGAGTCCCAGACTGTGCCAGTGTGCTTATGTTTGGTGCTGAAACTATGGTTTACACTGTGCTCATGAGAGCTGAAAACAGTTGCCTGCTGTTTAAAATAGGATTTTAAAAGGAACTTGAAGAGATGAAAGTTGTTACTAAGCTGATCTATGTAGTGCCAGGGATGTTTTTTTTAAAAAAAATGACAGATTGTTGTTTTCATTCATTTAAAAAATACATATATATTGATGTGAAGATCACTAGTATTGATGTGAGTGGTTTACTGTTAGATTTAAAGGTTGTGTAATATCACCCACGAATGCCATGGCAAGAGGTAAACTCAGGTAACAGATAAAGGGCAAAAGACCGTCTTTCTATTTCATGCTGATTTTAGTTCATGTTGTGCAGTGAGTGTAAATCCACAAACTGAAGCACTTCTTTATTACTTTTCTTTATGACTATTTATTATTTTAGCATTTCTGTTTATACCACAGTCTGTGGGATCTTAAAGTCAAACCTAAGCAGTCTGACAGGGTATTTTCCAGTCACCACTTAAGCTTCAATGTTACAGTAAAATTTTGTTGGAGGCAGCAAATGGTGCATAACTTTACACCTCCTCTAGCACTCCTGACCTCCTTCGTGCTCACAAGACTGTAGTCTCGGTGTAAATAAGTTAAGAGGAACCTAAAAATAAGTGCATGGTGTTTGAAAATACCATTTCAGTTGTGAATTATTCAGAGAGCAAGAGCTGCGCAATAGCTGAGAATCTCAGTTTGCTTTTATGGGGATTTATTAAGATCATTGAAATGCTAAAAAAAAAGACTGGAAAATTAGAAATACATGATTTAACAAATCACTTAATAAGCTCGGTTCTTTCACTGATTACATGTGTTTTTGCACTTTAAATTGAGATATAATGGTTCCAGCAGAAACGCCTGAGGCAGTTACTTGTGTCTGCGTGTGTCCTCACAGGAAACTGCAGAGAGGGAGCTGTGGTTTCATTAACATGAGTGTCTGGGATTGTGAGTGGTGCAGGCAGTAGTGTAATTGCTCCCTGACCTTTCTGGCAAAATGTACAACAAACAATTTTCTGAACACACTGTGTGTCTTAAGTTGTTTGTGTTAACAGTGTCCCCTTGAGTCTTGCACCTGAAAGCCCCCATGTACTCTAAAGTTACAACTAAGAGACAGACCAAGTTTTAATTCAAGAGCACACAAACACAGCAAAAAGTACCACTGCACTGTTATGTGTGGGGGTTTTTTTTTGTTTGTTTATTGCATGCACAAATGTGCTGATGACATCTTCACTGTTACCCAAGGAGTACTTTTTGTGTTTCATTTTTAACTGCAAAGATTCCTTAAAGCTCAATTTAAGGCACATGAAGTCCTAAAAATGGCAATATTTCCCCTTAGAACATTTACCTAACATTGGTAGAATTGCTATATATTTACTTTAGGCAACAAACGTGTGTTGTTCCCAATTTTAGCACATTCTTTTTTTGTCTAAATAATAATGGTACTTTCTGGGAAGAAACACAAGTCCCTTCTGGGGTTGCGTCAGGAGGGACATCCAACATAAAAATCCTGCCAAAGCAAACATGCGGCGCTACCCACTGTGGTCGGCTTAGCAGATGACTCCCCGCATTTCATTTTACCATAGACTTTTACACCAGCTGTCCTTCTTATTTCAACCCTTCCAAGGATTTATATCTCCTCCAAAGCTTGAAGCAGAAATCTTTTGTGTGTTAGGCCAGGTTGTTAACCACTACACTGTTAAGCCATAGTATTAGTGTTTCAGAAGCTAGTTTTTTAGTGTGCAAGCATGCTAACATTCAGTAAGTAGCACTAAACACATCTTGTGTATAAAAGATAGGTGGAACCCTTATCTGATTTGACTTTCTTTTCTTTGTTTATTTTAAAGCAGTCATCACTGTGATTGGGATAAGACTATCCGGTTGCTAAGTCTGACGTCACTAGCCGTGTCTGGACCTAAACTCCGCTGCAGGTCCATATATCAAA